AGAGTAGGAGGGGAGGGGAAAGAAACTCAGAGCATCATGGGGCCCCCAGCAGCCTAGGCCTATAGCAGCATAACTAAGGGAGGGCTCAGGGTCACCTGATCCAGCCCTAACTATAAGCTTTATCAAAAAGGAACGTCTTAAGTCTAATCTTAAAGGTAGAGAGGGTGTCCGTCTCCCGAACTGTGACTGGGAGTTGGTTCCATAGGAGAGGAGCTTGATAGCTAAAGGCTCTGCCTCCTATTCTGCTTCTGTGGACTCTAGGAACCACAAGTAGACCTGCACTCTGAGAGCGAAGTGCTCTGTTAGGATGATAAGGCTCTGCGAGGTCTTTAAGATATGATGGAGCCTTGTTATTAAGGGCTTTGTATGTTAGGAGAAGGATTTTAAATTCTATTCTGAATTTTACAGGGAGCCAGTGGGGAGAAGCTAATATGGGAGAGATATGATCTCTCTTGCTAGTTCCTGTCAGTACTCTGGCTGCAGCCTTTTGGATTAACTGGAGGCTTTTTAGGGAATTATTGGGATATACTTATAGTAAAGAGTTACAGTAGTCCAGCCTGGAAGTAACAAATGCATGGACCAGTTTTTCAGCATCACTTTGAGACAGGATGCTCCTGATTTTTGCAATATTGCGCAGGTGAAAGAAGGCAGATCTAGAGACTTGGTTTCTGTGTGATTTAAAGGACATATTCTGATCAAAGATGACTCCAAGGTTCCTCACAGTAGTACTGGAGGCGAGAGCTATGCCATCTACAGTAACTATATGATTAGACAGCAGATTTCTAAGGTTTTCAGGCCCAAGCACAATAACTTCAGTTTTGTCGCAACGCAAGCACGAGGAGAACATGCAAACTCTGCACAGAAAGGCCCCCGTGTCGACCGGGGCTCGGACCTGGAACCTTCTCACTGTGAGGCAACAGCGCTAACCACCATGCCACTGTGCTGCCCACTGTTCTTCCAGTGTTTTGAAAATAATGAACTTTCAACTGAGATACAGATACTTTCATTACTGAGCATTTATTCAGCAAGTAAAGCAGGCGTCACACCTCGTGGCAGACATCACCGTAGTCTCTGTTCTTTTTAATTCCATTTACATTTGTTTTGGCGCCGAGTGTAGCAGGTGCTGATCTGAGGGCCATTAATGAGGTGTGTGACTTTATGGCCATCAGCATTTCGATTCTGAATTGCAGTTTTTTCTGCTTTGCCTGAAATATAACAGACACAGGTTTGGATTATGTGCACCTCAT